TGTCTCTGGAGCTGAGGAAATCTCCAGCTTGAGTGAGATAAAGAGAGGAAATAGGACTGTTTTAGTAAAGAAAATGTCATGTTATGAGGGAGTCAAGAACGATTGTTGTACGCTTTTATGAAAATAGGATAAATTGTGATAGTGTAAATGTTTTGGAGCTAATATCCTTTAGGTGGAGAAAAAGTATGTTGTGATAACTTTTGAGATTTAGTTTTTATAAAATAAATGACACGAGAAATTGTAAAATAAGTAGAAATGGATTAGAGGATTTTTAAAGTTCTCTCCAGAACTATCATACTATAATAGTGCATAGGTTAGTAACTTCCCTGCATTGTTGGCAGTAAAAGTTAGTAATTTTTGAACTGGGTTCCCTTGTACCCAAGAAGGCTGCAGAAGTACTTTAGGGGCTTTTGAGCTGAGGATAGGGAAGGTACTTTTACTTTCTACCAAAGTATCTCACATTTACTCTTTTTTTTTCCCAATACTAAAGGTTCCATATAATATTTTATTTGACGAAAGGGGCTCCTCTCCTCAAACAATTATCTGATTATCTGAGAAATCAGATCTAAAGCTTAAGGTATATATTTACAGGATTGATTCTTTAAGGAAAATAGAAAACATTAATAGGTTTGCCAAACATGTACACCAATTCAGATTCTTGACTCCTGATGCAAAAATCCCATGTTTCACTTGGTAAATATGATTTTATAAATTCTAGCATTAGACAAATAATGCATCTAATCACAAATGGTATTGGTACAGCAAAGGAGGACAGAGACAAGCCATTCACACCTGGAATTGACTTGACTCGTCTCTGCAAGGAAGATGATCTCTTGTAGTCGGCTAAAAACTTGAATAAGTCTTCATCACTGAGGCGATCTCCCTCCTGCCAAGAGAAAGGTCAGGGTTAGTGTAGACACACCATTGACTCCGGGGTTAGGGACCAGTGATTTCTGGGAAGATTTTTACCTTTAAGCTTTATTCTCACAAGTCTTTCATAGAAATTAGCATTATAGGCAACTCTGAAATCATTTACTAATAGCTCAACTTCTTGTGAACTATTCCTTCCCAATCACTCCCTGTGACTCAGCCTCTTACCTGTCCTTCTAGAAACGGGGCTTCTAGTGCATTCTAAGGAAGCCTATTTGGCCATTAGAAATCTAGGCCAAAATCTTCTCCCCCCACAAATCCCCTCCCCCCCCCCCCCCCCCCCCCCCCCCCCCCCCCCGTGATGCTAGTTTTACTTCCTGGAACAATACAGAATAAATTTACTTTCTTCTCCAAAGATTTGAAGGTGGAGAAAACATCTTTCCTATCTCATTTTCTTCATACTTGTCTTGAACAAGAAGCTTAAGCATAAATGACACCCTCCATGTGCCCGCCATGGGACACGAACTCTGGCAAGGGCCACACATGCATGATCTCCAATCCTTACAGCAACCCGGTAAGGTAGGTAGGTACATATGTCTTATTCCCCATGAGAAAATTCAGACTTAGTTAAGACAAGTATCTTGGCCCCCAAGGTAATACAATCAGGAAGGGGTGTTTCCCAAATAGAAACCTTTTCAGACCCTTTCGATTTCTATTATGTGGCATGGTGCACAGGCCCCGTCAGCATCCCTTCTGTGTTTGAGTTTAACATAAACCCTTTAAATGCCTCATTAAAACTATTTAAACTATGGAAACCTTTCCAAAAGAGTCAAACCACGTCTGATGTTTTTTTTAATTGTGGTAAAATGCATATCATTAAATTTACTATCTTAACCATTTTTTAAGTGTACAGTTTAATAGCATTAAGTACATTCACAAAGTTGTGCAACCAATCTCCAGAACTCTTTCGACTTGCAAAAATAATCTGAAACTTCATACTCTTTAAACAATGACTCCCCATCCCCTCTGACCCTAGACCCAGACAACCATTATTCTACTTTCTGTCTCGATGCATTTGATGACTGTAGGAAGTTTTTTATGTTTAAAATAGTCTTGATGTTTGCTGAGCTAACAGAGAGCACCACCTGGCATGGTCACACTCTAGGACAAGTAGGCAGCCCTGGAAAATTGCACGTGGAACAGAGGTGAGAACAGCAGGACAACAGCCAGGCCAGGAAACCCTGACCCACAGCCTAATAAATGAATTGACTAAGATAATGCAAACAGGGTAGTTTGTATCCCCCTCTCAATTTAGACAGCTAATACTCATTGAGCATTTACGTATTCTAGGCACTCTGAGAACAGCTCTAGAGCCCTCATGTCACTGACCCTCCCACAGCCACATGAAGTCAGCACCATCATCCCTGTTTTGCAGATAATGAAATTGAGGCTTGGTGAATGCTGTGGTTTGAATGTCCTCTCCAAAACTCATGTTGAGGCTTGGTCCCCAAAGTGGAAGTGTTAAGAGGTGTATCCTTTAAGAGGTGATTGGATTGTCAAGGTTCCGCTCTCATGAACGGATTAATACATCCACAGATTAATGGAATAGTGAGTTAACAGATTAATTGGTTGTCATGGGAGGGGGACTGGTGGCTTTATAAGAAGAGAAAGGGAGACCTGAGCTAGCACACTCAGCCCCCTTGCCACGTGATACCCTGTGCTACCTCGGGACTCCACAAATAATCCCCACCAGCAAGAAGACCTTCACCAGATGCAGCTCCTGGATCTTGGACTTCTCAGCCTCCAGAACTATAAGAAATAAATTCCTTTTCTTCATAAATTACTCATTTTCAGGTGTTTTGTTACAAGCAACAAAAAATAGACTAAGACAGTGACTTTAACTACCTATACTCTTCCTGTGGGCTCCAAGGCCCATGACAAGATGGGGACAAATCCAGACACACCATCCTGTGAAGAGATACCTGCTTGAAAAAGGTGTTAATGGTCATGGTGGTGGTTCTGAAGTTGGATCCAACCCCATTTTCCTCCAAGGAGAGGGCTCTTTCAGAAAGTCTTCTAGACTGGGCCAAAGTCCTCCGTTCACCCACTGAGCTTCTCCCTTTAAAGAAATCAATTGTCATTTTAAAGTATGCCTTTCCGTTTGAATACACAGCAGTTATTAACTTTACCATATATAAGATATGTTTAAAGTCACTGAACAAGGACATTGAACATGGCCATCCCCACGCGGAAAATAGGGTAGACCAGATGCCACTTAGCAAGAGTTCAGAGCTGCAGCCAGAACAGGATCTTCTGATAAGCTTTATTTAGTCAGCACAGTGTTTGCTTTTGTTTTATTTTTATATTTGCATTCCACTGGGAGAGGCATGTACTCAAATGCCCCTGAAGGCATTTGGGCTTGTGGCCCAAACATGCTAGGGTCAGCCTGCGTACATTCTGAATCTCAGCTTTCCTCTGCTCTCATTGTGTGGACCAGGCTGCAAAACTGAGTTTCTGCCTTGATGGACCTGTCTAATGCGAATTAGGACTCCAGAACACACCCAAACTTGGGCTGGCACCCTGGTACTCTGCTTAGTTGTTTCTTATCCCCTTTTGGGATTTGGGTGGAGATCTTATTGCTTTTCTACTCCAAAACTCAGGGGTTCTGTTGGAAATAATCAAATTGCTTAGAACTCTAATAGTTCCAATTCTTGCCCTTTTAACCTTAATTTGTACCATGCTGCTGAATTGGGATTTCTTTCTACTGCTACCCACCTAAATATGCCATATCATCTCAGTATAATATGCAGCATCTTCTAGTTGCTTCTTAAGAATCAGTATCTGTAGTCAGGTTAATTTATCCTTGATCTAGAGATTACTGAGGTCTCAGCAGGCCTACCCCTGAATTACCTAGCTTAGTGTACCCTCTAAGCTCTCTATATACCTGTTTCAATTAAGACTATCTGGGTCTGCATGGAAGTGGGCACTAAAAACAATTGTGAGGCCAGGATGCAGCACGGTGAGGTTTGTTATTGAGAATTCAGAGATAACCCAGGAGCTCTGACTGGTGATTATGCAACGATAACTCCAGAGTAGCAGCAGCAATAACAAAATACCCTTTCTTCCAATTTCCTGCTAAAGGCAGCATTTCAGAAGTAGCAGAGCTAAGGAATGCATAAGAAATGTGAAGAGAGACCTAAATATTTGCTTGATACAAAGGTATTTGAGCAAACAGAAACCCCACCATAGGAGGTGGGTGGGGGTGGGTCTACTTGAAAACTTTGCAACCCTCTATGAAAATTTCCATACTCAAACAGTTTAAGAATTAATGATTCAGATCAATGGTGAGGTGATGAAAAAGAAATATGCTAAATAAATTAAAACAGTAACGATATATTCTTTTGGCACTCACTTTTTCATTTCACTGGGCAAAGTAAACTTTAAGGGATTGGATATTGTGCTGAAAAATCTGACTTTTGCTTTTTGGAAGCCTTGGACACAGAGGCTTTTCCTATGTTTAAGACACAACCACAGTGTTTCTGTTTAGCACACTAAAGATGGTTACTACATTTTCTTCTTTATTTAAATTTCCCTTTTCAGAGGTGGTGGCTACCAAAAATTAACTTTTTAAAGTGTCAAACTATCTAGAAAACCTTATGATAAGAGTATATTTAATCTCCATAAATGCTCATGATAATTTTTTTTGAAGATTATTGTCCAAGCAAGCATGTGTAATCCAGTCATAATAGTCTTTCATTCTATTTCTCTCCTTCCTCCTTCCCATCACTCCCCAAAGCTACTGCAGCCCCAGAGCTGGTACTCTGGGAGCCTTCCCCTGGCCCCTGCAGATGAAAATCTTACCAACCGTGGGCTCCACATCCATTACCTCCCTGTCGAGGGTGGAGACATTGAAGAAGGTTGCTAAGCTTATGGGCGCCCAGGCAAAGGGCATCCGGTATTTCCCCAAACGTTGGCAGAAGGATTCAGCTTGAAGTTTCAGTTTTTCAATCTTTTCTTTACTCTAGAGGAAAATGGGAAGAAACCAGCTGTAACAAGCATCAACACTGAGTCCCCTGCCTCTGACATGGATGTGACAGCTATCCCCCAAATTCAAACCTTACTGATTAAAGAAAGAGTGCACAGGCAGAAAAATGACTTCTGGGGCCAGAAGTCTAGCTGGAAATAGATTAAATAGATTACGAAGTGAGAAGTTTAACGAAAGTCTACATTCAATGAAAATACTACATCTTCAGCTAAAAAGAAATGTCCAAGGCTTGTTATACCAGTTAATCTATGAATGATTCTTTTGGTAGCTGGCTATGTGACTTAGATTTGCACCAAAGAATCTAGGAATAAAAAGTGTAGAGCTATGATGACACCACTGCACTCTAGCCAGGGCTATAGACCAGAGACTCTGTCTCAAAAAAAACCCAAAAAAACAACAACAACCCACAAAATTTAGTATGTTATCTACCAAGCTCCCAAGTGAATCTGTTTTTCAAAAGTTGCCTTGGAAAACTCCAAAAAATTCTAATAAGTTTCCTAACAACTTCTTATGAGATTTAAAACACTTCCAAGGTATTCTTCTAAGTTTGGAATAGAAGATAGATTTTTAGAAAAAGTCTTGAGTTCAACAAATCTTACTTGCAATTTATGAGTGTGTAGTAGAATACTGATTAGGTAAGTCTTATTCCAGAAAGGCCATGTTTTAAAAACCATACTGGGAACCTTTGCAAACTGCTGCTAAGAAAAGATGTCCTTTTCATAGGCTCAACATCTATGCTGTGCTAATGAATTTATGATGTATGGTAGTGATGACCAATTCCTAATTATCCACACCAGAAAGGGCAACGATCCATGCTGTTGAGGAAGGCCAGGAGATCTCTGGCACTGCCTAGTTTTGCAATCAGCTGGATCAGAGCCTCAGAACCAAGACAATAGGATGTGGCTTTGCCCTCACTAACTTATATAGTCATATGTTGGTGTATATCATCATTAGTGAGTTCAATAATTTATTTCTTTAAAAAGCTATCATCACTGACCAATTTCTTTTTCTTCTTTCATTTAAATTCAATGTATCAGTATCTCATATAGGGACATATTATGGACTAAATCCCATTAACTATTTTGTGAAACATTTCCAAAAATACCTGCTCCTTCTAAGATGTCACCATTTAGCAATATTCAAATTATCATACCTTTCCACCGTCACTTTCTTTGATAACCATGTAGGGTTCTGCACAGTCTCCAATCTCTCCCTGCTGAAGGACTTTTTCAATCTACCAACAAAAACAACATAAAGAACACGAATTACATCCATGTAAAGGAATCTATGCAACAATCAAAATTATGTTTTATGACAATACTTGAAGACATGGGAAGATATCTGTCATATATGTTTTTTGATTTAAAAAAGTTAGTATGAAGGGTACCACATGGTTTTATAAAAAAAATCATAGAGGCATATTAAAAGGATGATAGCAGATACACAGCAAATGTTAATAGTAGTTATCTTTGCACGGCGGGATTATGTGTGATTTTTATTTTCTTCCTATTGCTTAGTGTATTTTTTATTTTTAAACAATAAACATGTATTATGTCTACAATAAAAAATGCAATAAAAGTTATTTTATAAAACAAAACCCCTGAGACATGTGTAGGCAGTGGAAAGCTCATTTTCTTTATTATTGCTTACAATGTAAAAAAGAGATATGGTCTCTGTAAAAGTCAGGTTGGGGACCAAAACCTTCCACAAAATGAATAAATGAACAGAATAAATTATCTGTAATTGTCTCCACGGTATTTCCTATTAGGCTAATTTTCTGGATTTAGCAGACTTGGAAAGAAAGTGAAAAGCACGGGGATGTGGGGTGTCTCTGTTTGCCGCCTGGCTGGTGACAGGAGTGGATGCTACTCTTGTCCAGCGTCTTCTTCCATCTTGCTCCAGGCGGAGAGCTGGCTGGCTACTTGCCATCAAGTTGGGTACCATGTTTAGGAGAAAGGCAAAGAGAAATTGGAAATTTCCTAAGTCCCTGCTAAAAGACAATTTCACTTAGATGTTGAAGAGAAAAGCAAGTAGATTTAGTCCCATTAGCCAACGTCATTAGTTCAAATGACCCTTGAAGAAGAAATCTGGGTCAACATATTCCAACAGACACATACTCTTAATAGGTGCTATCAGTGAGGCACAAAGTATTTAACCAGAGTACCCTCCGGAGGGGTGTTTCATGGGATTTCAAAGGAAGGGGCATGGGGCTGCTCAGTGGATACCTGTTTCAGGGAGGGGTCCAAACGGGAAGTCCCATTTCTCACAAAAGAAGTTAAAAACCCCTCCCCATTGCCACTGCACAGAGAGAAGGCTGATCCCACTGAGAGATGCACAACGTTGAAAACACAGACCCATAAAGCTTGAGCTAGAAACTGACCAGCATTCCTGTTAATCAGCAATCATTCACTCATTCATTCAGAAAATCCTTGTTGAGTACCTTCTGTGTGGTAGTAGCTGGGGAGATAAGGTGTTGATAAGCATAGTCCCTATTTTCCAGAGCACACACAATAAGCATTGTCCCTATTCTCTGAAAACCAATAAATACGGTCCCTATTCTCCTGAAGCTCATAGTCAGGAGTTTATAGAACAAATTGGAAGGAAACTAATTTTTCCATGAAGCCAATGGATTAAAAATGTGGTCTTTAAAATGAATTTTAAACGAAGATTGAGCTGCAGGCTGATATGAGAACCTATTGTTTTGGACCTTCGTGATTTATGTAAAAGGGTATGACATGAAGTGCATGAGCCTTCATAACCATGGAAGGTAAGGCAAAGGGGCCTATCAGAATAACCTGGGATATTTTTAGGGTAGAGAGGCTACTTTCTGCTTTATTCAGGAAGGCCTGGTTCAGTGTCCGGCATGTCTATTATCAAAAAGCTTCAGGTTCATTCCAGGCCTTACTCTCCATCCCTTAGTTGTGAAACAAATACTTTTTTTTTTTTGTTTTGGTACAATTTTTTTTTTTATTTTAGCGTATTATGGGGGTACAAGTGTTAAGGTTACGTATATTGTCCATGTCCCCCCTCCCCCTTCAAGTTTGAGCTTCAAGCATGTCCATCCCCCAAACATTGCACATCTTACTCGTTGTGTTTGTATATACCCATCCCCTCCTTTCCCCACCATCTGCCTGACACCTGATAAATGTTACTCCTATATGTCCACTTAGGTGCTGTTCTGTTAATACCAATTTGCTGGTGAGTACATGTGGTGCTGGTTTTTCCACTCTTGAGATACTTCACTTAGTAGAATGGGTTCCAGCTCTATCCAGGAATATACAAGAGGTGCTATGTCCCCATTGTGAAACAAATACTTTTATCTACTTCACAAAATCTTGAATTAAACCTTTAGGCCTGAAATGACTCCTTAAAGCAATATTTTATGCAATCCCAGAACTAGATGACTCTTCCTGAAATACAGTTAAGAGCCTGGTGTTCAGGTTGGGAATAAAATCAAGAAAGGAAGTAGCTTCTTTTTATCAAATGACACCTGTCTGGACATCATATTACACCATTTACCATATATTTAAAGGGAAAGAAGCAACAACGATGGTATCACAGTAAAGAAAACCAAATGGAAAGCAAACCAGCGACTGTCTTGCTATGTAGATTTAAATTTCTTCAATATATCCAGACAACTTAGAGTATGTTTGTTATTGCCAAATGAATGCATTCACACATTTGAAAATTTTGGAACATGTTTAGTAAGTGATAGTAACCACTTGGTAGCCACTGTTACTTGGCAGACTACTATGGACTAATCAAAATAAAGTCATCCACTGAAAAGTACAGTTTTAAATAAAATTTGGCTCTATAGAACTAGTGTTGGTTTCCTTGGTTTCCAAGGCTGAGAAAGAATTTTGAATTTGACTACAGGGCTGCCATAGTGGGCTTTACGCTAATTTTTCCTGTATGTCTAAGTAATATTGCAATGACAAGAACACACATTAAAGTGTGATGACCATAGATATGTCTTTTTAGCAATAGAATTTTAACTATACTTTCCATAAGCTTAAATAAGTTCCCCTCAAGCTGTAGTAAACTCTTATAATCTTTGTAAAATGATGTAAAGGAAGCTAGAATGGAAAGCACCTGCTGCCTGTTTAGTGGCTTCCAGGTTACTTGAATTTTTTGGAATCTATATGCTACTGTCACCATGAGGTCATGCGGGAATCACTGAGACTATGGACATAAAACACTGTCCTAACTAGAAAATGTCCTAAACACAGAAAGCCGAGTGTACATCAAATCAGACACCTAGATTTGTTGTTGTGTTTCATTTTACAATTTCGGTTTAAAGAGTCAATTAGACTGATTCTTTGGCCTTATAAGGTAGGTGAAATACCCAATGTTTGTTGACTTATAACCAGTCATTTTGGTGTATAGAGAAAGATTCTGGGGTGTTTTCTTTGTTTGTTTGTTTATATTTTGTTTTTTATATCAGCAAAGAATACAGTCTAGAATGAAAGTTTCTTCTACTTATTATGTGACAGATTTTGACTCTCATTTAACACTCAGTCTGTGACATGATGATAAAAAAGGAGAGTGAAACTTGGAAACCACAGCCCAAACTGTAGGATCCTGGACTTGGGAACATTTAACTGTGGGTCTCTAGAAAAAGTAAACATCATTAGGAAAGTCTACAGAAGAGATGTTGTGTCTTTGTCCACAGTAGCCTCCCAGAGCCTGCTAGCTGAGGGAACTTTTTTCAGTTAGGAGGGAGGGTAGTGACATGGTTTGGATGTTCTGCCCCTGCAAATCTCATGCTGAAATTTGATCCCCAGTGTTGGAGGTGGGGCTGGTGGGAGATGTTTGGGTCATGGGTGCAGATTCCTCATGAATGGCTTGGTCCCCTCCCCGCCATAATGAATGAGTTTTCTCTATATTAGTTCACGTGAAAACTGGCTGTTTAAAAGTGCCTGATATCCCCTCCTCTCTCTCTTGCTCCTTTTCTCGCCATGTGACATCCCTGCTCCCCTTGATTGGAAGCTCCCTGAAGCTCTCACCAGAAGCAGATGCTGGCACCACGCCTCTTGTACAGTCTGCAGAACTGTGAGCCAACTAAGCCTCTTCTCTTTGTAAACTACCCAGTCTCAGGTATTCCTTTACAGCAGCACAAAATGCACTAACACAGGGACATAAGGTGTGCCAGGCTTTGCTCTGTAGTCACAGCTACCCACTGAGTCACGACTACCCACTGAGGTCACTGTGATAATCCCCACTCTTCAAATGAGGAAACGAAGTCTCAGAAAGGTCAGGTCATTGCCAAAGTCATACAGTTACTAAGTTGTAAAGCCAGGATTCAAACCTAGGACTGCCTCACTCCAAAACCATAGTCTTTGTAGTATCTAAAACAGAACTTGTTTGTAAGGGAAAAGGGGTAAGTTGAGAAGGGAACAAGTGAATCTCACAGAGGACATGCAGACACGTGCTGACGTCTCTTTTGCACCAAACATGCAGGGAATAATGCAACAATGGAATCCTCAGGATGTGCAAACAGGAATGTGGTTAACTACCTTGACTACTAGGTAGATGTCCGAGGATGGATAGGTGACCGAGAAGATCGCAGATCTCGCCTGGCTTGACGCGGCAACTGAGGGCGTGTGAGCTCGCAGAAATCCTTTGAACTGGTCGGAGTTCAGGTCACAGTGAAAATTTTCTGAGATCTGTAAATGAGCAGCAAAGTGAAAAATAAGTCAGACCTGCTGTATTCACAGTCTAAACGTGTTTAAAAAAAAAGAGTGAAAAAGCCACAAAGAAATTTCACTGAAGGAACAAGTGTAGTCATAGATATGGTTTATGATGAGTGGCTGCTAGAAAATCGGATAAATGTTTTGTCACAATTTCTAGATATTCTGGAGCCATTTGAGAGATGTTCCTCGAAACATTAAATATTTGGTTAGCCCACCAGTATTTCCTGAGTATGAGTGATGTGCTAGGTACTTCACTATGTAAGCGCAGGATGTTGCCTCTGCCCTCAATTAGTTTACAATCAAGAATGAGGGAAAAAGGAAACATAACGAACTACAGTAAAAGCAAAATACAAGTCACCAATGGCATACAAGAAGAAGATCCAAGGAGTGACAGGTCATTTTCAGTTGTGGTGACGAGGATAGCTTTTCATGGAAGAAGCGTTGGAGAGGGACGGGCCTTAGAAGAAGATTCTGACGGGCAGAGGTAAAGGCTGAAGGTGCTCCAGGGACAGAGAACAGCCCAGATAAATATCTCAGAGGCTGGAATGCCTGGAGGGAGCTTAGTCAACAGCTGACCAGCTTGGCTATGCATAGGCTGTAGAGGAGAAGAAGGCACATGAGAGCCACGGTGAATGTCTGACATAGAAGCTAAAGAGTTTGTTCTTAACATTGTAGATAGTGAGGATCCATCAAAGATTTTGAGCAAGAGCGTGACGTGAATAGTGAGTGCTCCTTGGGTCACTGGGTGTATTGTTAGGTAAAAGCCACTGCATGGCTGGGTTCTTCCTTTCATCTCTAAGAGAGTTTTGTTGAGAAGTGGCTGCCCAGGCAGAGACTACATTTCCCAGCCTCCCTTGCAATAAGGGGTGATCATGTGGCTAAATCCTCTCCAACAAATTGTGAGCTGAATCGAACTTTTAGGCCTCTTCCATGCCTCTTTTCCCTTTTTGGGGGGCATCATTGGCAGTGGCAAGAATGATTTGGGGAGAGTACATAATTGAAGATGGAGGAGCCACTGCCAGCCTGGGTTCCTGAATGACTGAGTGGAGCAGAGGGATCCCCTAACTCTGGATTGTTAAGAAACAAAGATAAGAAACTTCTTGTTCTTTTAAGCCCATGGTTTTCAAAATGTGGTCCCTGGACCAGCAGCTTCAGCATCACCTGGCAACCTTTTAGAAGTCCAAATTTGTGGGCTCTACCTGGAGCAATTGAATCAGAAACTCTTGGGGTGGAGCCCAGTGATTTGTGTTTTAACAAGTCCTCCTGGGGATTCTGATGCATGCTCAAATTTGAGAACTACTGAGCCACCGAAATTCGAGGTCTACTTGTTTTAGCAGTTAACCTACCTTAACTAATAATACAAATCTCAGTGATTATTAATATTTATCCAAGAGATACATGTTTTCTTAAACACAGAATGGTTACAGGTAAAGAAGGGCAGAGGTATCTGCCTTATTCTGGTTTTGCTATTGCTGTCCTCTAGGAGTTAGAAAATGACTAAACAATAAAACACTCATGGAAAAGTCTTGGGTCACTGTTTCCATTAAAAGCACATTATATTTGGTAAGGTCTTCACCCTGTGGCAAATTTAGACTTTTACTGCACAAGATGACTTCCATTTGTGATGAGCCCATTTCACAGGGCGAAGAACTCTCAAACCCAGGAAACGTTACATGCACATTCCAGCTTGTTAAACACGCACTTAAACTGGTTTGTTTTCCACATAATCCCATGTGCTGTTTCATTTGTCTCCTGTCCCAACCACCTTCAGGAGGCCACCACCTCCTGAAGGCCTTTCCCTCAAAGATTCCTCAAAGTACATAAATGATGTTCCTAGATCATTGCTTGAAAAATTGCAAAGGCTGAACAGAACTGGACCCATCAAAGGTCATTTGTTTTCATATCTGATGTGTTCTTGCTGCACAGAAATGAGATTTAAAACCATAAACCCAAAGAATCATGAACAGTGTGCATGCTTCAGGGATATATTCTTTGCTTTCTTACCTTTTTCCTTTCTTTAACATCGTAGAGGGCAAGGCTGGCAAACAGAGGCTCAATTTCTATTTCAAACCTGTCAGAGAAAGAGAGGTAAATCTATATAGCTTTCATTTAGATAACTTTGAATTTTCTGAAAATGCTTGGATATATATAAACTGGTTAAAAATGGAAATAGTTTCCAGAAGGATTTGGAAAACTCCACACAGATGAGAATTACACTGGAATTATTAATGAAGAAACACGGGAGGTTAATGGAAAATTCCTGATTATTTGAAATCATGGTGGATGTTACCACAACATGCTGGATATTTTTGGGATATCTCGAAAAAATGCTTGTTGGTAGCCCTGCAAGAGAGAGTGGCTAAATAGACCCTTATGCTGATCCAATTTCTTACCACTCTACCTGCTGTGTTTTCAGAGGATAGAGTCTCTGTTGTAGGCAGTGAATTGTCCACATTTCACATTTTACTGGTAGGATAGGAATCTCTATTATTTAATTCTAAGGGATGGGGCTCTTCGGTCAGTAACAAAAGAAAAGTCAACTGCTTTACCGTGGGGCAGTCAGAGGAAGATTGGGCTCTGACCTGGATGAAGGTCTGGCCCTTCCTAACTCCATTACCGAGGGGCTGCTCAGTTGAGGTGGGGGAGGGGATTCAGCACAGCAGATAAACACTGAGGTGCCCGGACCCCACAAGAGCTGGAAAGAGCCCTTGTATTGGCCCTAATCGCCAATTTCCCTTGACATGGTGGGCTTGCCGAGAACACACACCTAAAGCAGAATCCCAGCACATGTCAATAGGGGTACAGGGAATGCAGATGAGCACCTTCCAAGTTTCCCGGCCTAGCAACCTGTGACCTTGGACACTGCCTGCCGAGGGCATCAGTAAAGAGGCCCTGGTCCACCATCACTCAGAGGTCATGCAAATGAGGCCATATTTTGTCTCCAGGCATGCGTGAGAGGATGTCCTTATCATTGGATAGCTATGTCTCAAAAGAGGACTTTTTAGAAGAATATTTGGACAGAGAATAAGCACAGACAAAAGGGTTAGTTGGTGAAAGGAGGTGGTTTGGAATAATGGCAGACTCACAGGACACTGGGTCAGAGAGACCTGGGCCCTGTTCCTCTTCTACCACCTGCCAATTCTGGGATCCTAATCAGGTTACTTATCTTCCCCAGTTCCATTTATGCATCTGCAAAATGAGGCAAGGACACTTGCCCTTCCCATTTTCCCAGCTTACTGTAAGGTTCATGTAAGGCACTGAGTGTGAATATACTGTAAAAACAATGTGGAGCAGCACTAGTTACAGTAGCCAAAAGGTGGAGGCAACCCAAGTGCCCAGACAGATGAATGGATAAACAAAATGTGCCCTACACATGTACCTATAATATTGTTCAGCCTTAAAAAGGAAGGACATTCTGACATACGCTACAACATGGATGAAGCAGAAGACATCATGCTAAGTGAAATAAGTCAGTCACAAAAGGAAAAATATTTTGTGATTCCTCTTATATGAGGTACCTAGAATAGTCAAATTCAGAAAGATGGAAAGTAGGATTGTGATTGACAGGGGCTGGGGAGTGGGGGTACTGGAGTTAGCGTTTAATGGATATGGAGTTTCTCTTTGAGAAGAAAACAATTTCTGGAGATGGATAGTTATGATGGTTGCAGCACAATGCGAATGTATTTAATGCTACTGAAATATACACTAAAAATGATTAAGATGGTAGATTTTATGTTATGTGCATTTTAGCACCAAAAATCCCAAGGTGGAGGATTTCCATGTTGATTCTTCCTATTATTAGGTAACAGCACATTAATCAGGGCAGTCCCTGTGCCTTCGTTCACCAGCTATTGCCTGGTATGGTCAACCTGTGCCAGGTTGCTCCCTATACACAAAGGGTATGAATATTGCAGGAATATACCTACGTAGGCACTGAGTGTTAAGTTCTCTGTGGTTCAGAGAAAGAAAAGGGGAATTGACATTTATTAAAGATTTAACAATTAGGCTGTGATAGTACTTTTACACAAGTCAACCTCTTTACTCTTCACAACAGTACAAGGCAGTATTATCCTCATTTCACACAATATTGACATTGAGAGAGATTAAGAAATTTGTCAAAGGCCACAAAGTTAGGAAGTAGCACAGTCAGGTTTTGAGCCCAGCCATTTCTGATCACAGGACCTGGGCTTTTTCTACAAGTGTTTCTCCAAGTGTAGTCCGCAGAAACCAGCATTCTGAAGCACAGGAAGAATTTGTGAACATGCAGGATTCTTGGTTACCACCCAATACCTGCTGAATAAGAAGCTCTCAAGGGTGATGATTATTGGGGGTCTCCCAAAATCTGCATTTAAAACAAACTCTCTGGGTAGATTTTATGCATGCTAAAGTTTCACCACAGAAAAGACTAAGAGCTGAGGTTACTTTGCATAAGATGGTATTAAATCTTACATTAAACGATTTCCCAACTTAAAATACAAAACAGAAAAATACTTTGTTGCCATCCTGTTTTTTTCTTACTGCTATAAACATTTGGAAAACTGGCCCCAGTCTAGTTCTTTCTGTATCCTTGAGGCTTTATTTATTTCTCAAAAGCAATACAGAGACAGTTAAAAATCTCCATGTCTTAAAAGAAAATTCCCTAGCTGCTAAAACCTAGAGTACTATAAATAGAATTCTGCATATCAATGTCAATGGGAAAACATCTGCCATTAATATTACTCTTAAATTTTTACTATTCACGCGTTCACATTCTAGGCTTACCTAGAAGAATTTGTTTCCTTTCTTTTATGCAGTTTACTCAAAGTAGTTATACCTGGGGCCTTTTCATTGGTCCATTTCCTCTTGCAGGTGTATTTTAGTACGGATACTATTTAAGACACTTGAGCAGGCCAAGTGCACTGGGCAAACACATCCGTTCTACTTAATTTCTGCTTTGGCAGTTGGGGAAACATCACTAGAAACTGGACTTGACAATTTTCATTAAGAGAAACCCAAGTGACTCAATTTTTTAAAAATAACATATGTTCTATCTTAGTGGGCCATGTTTTCCCACCTGTAAGTACAGCTGCCATTGACTTGTTGGAAAGGTCTAGAAGGCTTGGTGACAAGCATCCTCCAATCCCAACTGGCATAGTTGCTGCATCTAAAAGTAGCCTGACTGTACATCCTGTGGGGGTGGCTGAGTGCCTCAGACAATAGCGTAGACTTCCCAAACAATGAAGAGGGGAACAGCCACTTCCACTCAGTCCTACCACTGGCCTGATGGGCTAGGAAGCTCTCACTTCCAGGTTGGCTCGCAAGCGTTAGAGTTTGCCTTTCTGTGCCCATTACTTGATACAGAGCTGGTTCATAGGCTGCTCATTTCTGTGTATAAGACAAATGCCCTTATACCCCCATGCATAGAACTGGCTGGGGCATGGGGCTACAACATCAAAACAGTACCCATATCTGTGTGAACAGCCATGCTGGCTTGTGTTCGGAGGCAGAAGAACTTGGGGGAGGCTATGTGTTAAAATCACAGTAGTTTATAGTAGGTAGGAACTTTGAGACCAGCTGGTCTAACAATTTCATTTACAGGTAAGAACTCAAAATCCCAGGGAAGTTCCCCAGAACTGAGACAGACACAGGATTGAATCTAGAATCCATATGCCTAAGTGTAAACCAGGTGCTGCTTAAGGGATCCAGGAATCGATTTTGAGAGATGGATCATTCTCTTAATAGCAGATGGAAAAATGTTATGATTATGTACTTTTGCTTAGGCAGAGTATTTACAACCTTAATATTTTCAAAATGGTTTCTTGGCTCCAAGTGGAAGAACTAATTCTCTAACGTAGCAGTCTGCAAAGAGGAAGAGAAGTGTGGGAACACACGAGGGGGTACATAAGATACTCCACTGGAAGGCAGGAAAAAATGCTAGATATCTTTAGATTTATTTATCTCACCTTTAAAATTTCTCATGTATGTTTTATAATGTGGATAAAATATATATATATTTTCGGCATATTATGGGGGTACAGATTTTAAGGTTTCAATAAATGCCCATTTCCCCCCCTCCCCCCAAAAGTCTGAGTCTCCATCATGACCATCCCCCAGATGGTGCACATCTCACTCATTATGTATGTATATACCGCCCCCTCCCCCCTCCCACCTGCCTATACCCTATTACTGTAGTACCTATGTGACCACTTAGGTGCTACTCAGTTAATACCAGTTTGCTGGAGAATATATCTGGTGTTTGTTTTTCCATTCTTGGGATTCTTCACTTAGTAGTATGGGTTCCAGCTCTAACCAGGAAAATATAAGATGTGCTATATCACCATTGTTTCTTAGAGCTGAATAGTACTCCATGGTATACATATACCACATATAATGTGGATAATATTTTAATATGCAAGCACAAAACAAAATTAATACATGTATACAGAGGACATGTGACTTGTTTTTTTAATATAAAAGTACACAATCACAAAGTTTAGAGACAACTACTTTAAAGTAGATGTGGCAAAAAATTGGCCCACAAGATGAAATTGAACTCCAGACACGTTTTGTGTGAATTGTGTGGTGTTTAAAAAGGAAATGAGTTAAGTGAAGTTTCCCAAGAATGGAAAAACAAGCACCAGCAAATTGGTATTAACTGAACAGCACCTAAGTGGTCACATAGGTACTGCAGTAATAGGGTATTGGCAGGGGGGAGGCGGGTATATACATATATAATGAGTGAGATGTGCACCATCTGGGGGATGGTCATGCTGGAGACTCAGACTTGTGAGGGGAGGGGGGGAAATGGGCATTTATTGAAACCTTAAAATCTGTACCCCATATATGCTGAAATAAAATAAATAAATCAACAATAGATAAAAAAATAAAAAGGAAATGAGAAGATAGTTAGGGAGTCAGAAAATTATGCTGAAAAAATCTGGATTTTCAGCTTCTCTTGAATAGAAAAAGAAATAAGACAATTGATAAAAATGGGCTTGTTTCCTTGGATGGCAAGTGGCTGTAGCTAGAAGTGGGTCCCCATTAACACAGTTTGCTACAGTCCCCACCACTCCTTATTGCTCCCTTGCACTGAACTGGGTTTCAATTGCATTGATCATTGTATTTTGACAATGGTGTGCTGGTAAATGTTTAACAAACAATCTCTGGGGGACAAAGGGTGCTCATCTGTAGCATTTGCTGATTTCTGTGTTGTAAATACTTTCACCGTGGCCAATTTAAAGTTACCAATGTGACTTCAATGAACGCGGAGTTGGGAAGAGATGTGCACCATCAGCTTTTGTGAGTTAGTACGAGTTGACTCCTGCAACCCACTGACTTTACTGTGCTTTTTCCTTAATATAGGCCATTTCACTCAATTATCTTACATGCCTGACCTTGGTAGACACTTGTGTTTGCCTTCCCTATTGTGGAAGAATGACTGTCAAAGCTTGGTAGGAACAGCGTCCAGAAACAGACCCCAAACTCCGCTCTTTCCACTAATACCCACAGCTGCCCACTGTGAAAAGTGTGTTGGGAACTCCTCCCCGATTCAAGCTCTCCGTTTGTCTCTAAAAGGCAAAACAAATCTCAAAAGTAGTGATCACACGTTTTCTGATACTTACTTCAGTGTCAGCAACTTGATCAATATTCTGTTGCCCAGATGTTCCCTGGGACATTCTGGTACCGGACGTATTTCCACAGCATCCTCCTATTATTAGCCACATTACAAAGAAATCGTTAGTGAATTCCATGAGGAGCTCCACTTGGAGTTAACCCAGGGAAGGGAAGGCTGCCCTCCATGGCTCAAATCAACTTACATTTGTTTTATTTCTAATAGCAGAATAACACTCTGCCTTTCACAAGAGTTCGCCATCCAACCCCCAACCTTCTAAGCCAGCATTTACAGCAAACATTTTCTCCTTTCAGAAAATCAAGCATTTAAGACAAAGAGACTGAAGGAGGAAGGAAATGTGAAAATGGACATGGCTTAGTAACATCCACCAGATGGCATTGCAAAATCTTATACCTATTGTTTTTTTTTCTGTTGTTGTTTTTGTACTCATTTTTTTTTTGCCTGTTTTAAATACATTTAGTCAGAATATTTCTCCTGCCAAGGAGTTTACTAGTAAATAGGTGAGTTTCAGACTTGAGATCTGAGTCAGCATGGTTCACTTTAGGCTGTAAACCATTAATGCTGTAACAGATTCTCTTTCCCAGCTCACTGTTTTCTTAAATAGATAATAGAGATTGAAAAGTGAATTTACAGGTTCTATACAGACATGTAGGTAGAACCTGCAAAAGTTCTAGCTATGGGAAAGCTTAGTAATGACAAATTAAGAGCTATACCTATTTATTTCATCACATAGGGGCTAAAGACTTACAGAGAAATAAATCCTTACTGAAATTTTAGCATTTAAATCTGAATTTCACTGAATCTTAATTACATTCACGTTTGTGAAATTAAACAGTGCAAATGCTTGAAAACTTTAATTCCCACTCTTGCAGTAGGTTATCCAAACACATGAGCGGTCTGCTGCTCACAAAGATCCAAACAGAGTCGTTTCTAATTGTCTTTTCCTGGCTATAAATGGAGCTTCCCACCAAATACCCCAAAGCAACCATAACATTTTTACAAATAGCAGTAAAGTCACCTTCCTGGTAAACCTGTACCCAGTTTGGTGGAATGCTAAACTCATCACTACTCTAATCTCTCTTTTCCTTTCCTACCTTTGGTTTGGATTCTAATCTTTGGAATCCATTTTTTGTTTTGTTTTGTTTTGTTTTAGAGATACGGTCTCATTCTGTTGCCCAGGCTGAAGTGCTGTGGCATGTGAGTCATAGTTCACTGTAACCTCAACCTCCTGGGCACAGGTGATCTTCCTGCCTCAGCCTCCGGAATGGCTGGGACTACAGGCGTGCCACCATGCCCAGCTAATTTTTTAATTTTAATTTTTTTTTGTAGAGGTAGGGTCTCAAAATGTTGCCCAAGCTGACCTTGAACTCCTGGCCTCATGTGATCCTCTGCCCTCACCTCTTAAAGTGCTGGGATTATAGAGGTGAGCTACCATACCTGCCGTGGGATCATTTCTTAAAAAACTTTTCATTTGGAAAATTCTAAACATATACAAAAGTAGAGAGAATGATACAATGAACTATCATTTATTCATCACCTAGCTTCAATAATTTCAACTCATGGGAAGCCTGGTTTCAGATGTATTCCTACTTACTATCTTCCCCCACACAATGCTGGATTATTTAGAAGCAAGTTCGCAGACACCATATAATTTCACGTGTAAATATTTCAGTACTTTTCTCTAAAAGATAAAGACTTTTAAAAACACACAACAATACCATTAAAACTCCTAAAAAATGAACAATAATTTCTTATTGTCACTAAATAATTGTATCAGTTTCAAATATCCTCAACTGTCTTAAGGTTTTTTACAGTTAGTTTGCTAAGTCAGAATCTGAATGAGGTCCACGTATGACATTTGGATGATGTATTTCCTAAGTCTCTTCTCATCTATGTGAATTTCTTGAGCATTTACAGCTATCTTAAATATGAACTCATTTCCAAAGAAGCAGAAGGTGCAAATGTGAAGCTTTAGTGAATACCTATTGTTTTATCATTCTGAGAAATATACATAAATGAAGGGAATAAAAGAGATAATGAGAGAGAAAGCACAAGAGATGATATTCTTCCATCTATTGACACACGGGATCTTGGAGCTAACTCTTTATTTGCATACATGTGATTTCATTATGTGAGCCAATAAGTGCCCTCCCCCTTTTTTTCTTAATTGGTTTTTAGTTGAGTTCTGTCACTTGTAACCAAGAGCCCTCAGGAAACTCTGCTATGGTTTGGAGTACAGTAGTATCTTTCTTAGGGATCAATACTTAGGATGCCTTTTGTAGAATCTGAGTGAATCTAGCAAAGAACTTGCCTAGCAGAAGCTTGGTGGCTGAGTCCCACTTCTGTCTCCCCTGTAGACTCAGCCATAATTTGGATACAATAATTTACTTCTCACTTTCCTTACTGGGAAACCAAGTAATGATAATACAAAAAAAATCTGATTAATATGTCATAAAAATCAGCATCTTATAATAATTTCCAAGTAGGTGTAAATTTACTATTCTTCCATAGGACTTACTTTGGAGAAAGTACAAATTACAAGTACGAATGCAATTTCTGTGGGAACAGCTTCAAAATATTAAAAGGCTGGTATATAGGCCCTCAAGCATTTTAGATATACCAGTTTACAAATAACTGGCATGCCAATTACAAAGCACTCCTCCTTACCAATAAAAGCTGATCCCATTAGGACTTCTGCTAGAGTCTTTTAGTCCCAACTGAGTTTCTGCATTGTTTCAAAGACCACAGAACAAAATTTCTGCAAAAAACAGTCTATGTTTCATTCTCATAATCAATTCAGATGGGACATCTTCCCATCTAATGCCACCAGGGAGACTTTGACAAGCTAATGTCTCCCTGGACATATTCTCCTCATCTTTTAATTGTTTTCTCTTTTCTGGCATCCACTTCGGGTCCCTTTAGTACATGTCAGCATCTCCATCACGGAATTGGGAGGAAGAGGAAGACAAGTGAAGGTCAAATCATCAGATTTAATATTTCTTGACAAATCTGGTAAACAGTTTTCATGTTGCAGATACAAACTGAGATGTTATAACATGTGATTTTTAAAAGATCATCTTTGGATTTCATTTACATATACTAATATATGAGGTAGATATGTAGATACATAAACAAGCAAACATAAAATTTGGAGTTTATGGGTAAGCATCCCCAATTTTATAATTTATCCGTTGAATCTTGAACAAGTTGTTTAACCTCTCTGATTCTTATTTTCTAATCTGATGAATGGAGATGATAATATTGCCCACATTATTCATATTCATTTATTTTTAAAATTTATTCTTTTAAATTGACAAATAATTATATATATTTATGGGGTATAATGTGATGTTTTGATTCATGTATATATTATAGAAAAATAAATTAAGCTAATCAATATATCCATCATTTTACCAACTTATCTTTTTTTATGTGTGGTGAGAATATTGATAATCTATTCTTTTCGCCCTTTTATTTTTTTTTATTTTTTTGAGACAGAGTCTCACTTTGTCGCCTAGGCTAGAGTGAGTGCCGTAGCATCAGCCTGGCTCACAGCAACTTCAAACTCCTGGGCTCAAGCAATCCTTCTGCCTCAGCCTCCCGAGTAGCTGGGACTACAGGCATGCGCCACCATGCCCGGCTAATTTTTTCTCTATATATTAGTTGGCCAATTAATTTCTTTGTATTTATAGTAGAGATGGGGTCTCGCTCTTGCTCAGGCTGGTTTCGAACTCCTGACCTTGAGCAATCCACTGGCCTCGGCCTCCCAGAGTGCTAGGATTATAGGCATGAGCCACCGTGCCCGGCCATCTTTTAGCCCTTTTAATATATACATTATTACTAACTGTGGTCACCATGTAGTACAATAGATCACTAAAACTTGTTTCTCCAGTCTAAATGAGACTTTGTACCCTTTGATCACCATTTCCCTTACCTCCCACAGCCTCTGGTAACCACCTTTCTACTCTGTTTCTGTGACATTCACTGTTTTGGATTCCACATATTAATTTATTTTTAATCTGTTTCATTCAGAAGAGGATTTAACACTGCTGACAGAACTGCAAATAAAATAGATGAGAAAAGGAAGGTGGTAAGAAAATAAGAATAAATAAAGAGAAAAATAGTTGGAATAAATTCAGGACACCAATCAGTAAGCTGCCACATTTGGCCGAGGTGAACAGAAATTTACTCTAAGAATTTAGGAGAGTCAGTTACAAAATGGGCACAATCTCTAAGTGTGCATGTCATCCTCAATGGAAGCATAATTCTCTTCTGAAGACTTGGGGATAATTTCCCTTTAGATCCTCATTGATGGAGGAGCTGGATGATGAATAGGTCAATGTCCACAGCAGTATTTCCATGGTGGACATATCATATCTCATGACTTCTGCTTCCTTTATCATCCTCTTTGCTGACCAGTGGTAAGCTCACCCAAGGGCAGGTCAGCAAGCACAATTCACAGGGGTGGGGCTTTATAAGAGGTGAGAACGAGGTTCTCTGATGGTTTTGCTTAAACTAGGGACCAAGTTTCAAATATTTAGAGGCATGGATGGATGGCATATCTTTTATGCAAAGTTTCCCCAAATCTTATTTCTTACAACAGAAGTTTTAATACAATTGGACAGCAGAGATATAGTGGTAACCTGTTGTGGCAAAACTCAGATGTATAGATAACCTGACATGCAGAAGGGAAAACTGAGAGCCTCACATAAAATATGAGGTGCCTAAACAGACATAAGGCTTGAATAATGATCATTCCTTATTCCATCTGCAGGCAAAGTGTAACTTATCAAGTTGTTCTGGGTCAGCTCCAGTAAATAAAGAAGTGGCCAATCAAGATCTCAAAGTCATGCACGCTGGGAGATGGTTGTGATTATTTTAGCCTGAAACTGTTCTCAAAGCAGGTATCTCTAGTTGCTCACAGAGACCATTAAAAAATAGCAAAGCAGTAAAGAACATCAAGGTTTAAGGAATATATGTCTTGATGGATTAGTTGCAAGTAGACCCTTGAAATGCTGTGAGGATCCAGTGAGATAATACCAGTGAACCTGTTTTGTAAAGTACCACGAAAATCCTAGTTATTATTATCAGAATCCCATCTGTCTGAGGATCAATAATAATTGGCTCTGCTACGACCCAGGCTAGCCTTAGTGAAAAACACAATCACAAAAAACATACAATTAAGCATCCTGACATCGAGGACTGCTACACAGCAATAACGAACAATAAAATCTTCCTCACGACTTTCCGTGTCTCCACTGAAATTCTCCAGGATGGGGACAGTGGGACCCACCTCGTCCACAGATGGGTACAGGGCAAAGAGCTCGGCCTGCCGATTGGTCCTCCGGGCCTCCTCATTCTGCTTCTCAAAGTCCTCGGCACTCACGTGCTGCAGGAGGTTTTCCAGCCGCGGGTCAGGCTGCAGGCTGCGGAGGTCAAAGCCACAGGCGGTGAGGGGGCCTTTCCCAGACACATGGCACAGCACCTTCAAGCGGCGGGGCCCTGCCTGGGAGAGAAAACAGTGGGGCTGAGACGAGGACAAAAGAATCTGGGATGTCTCAAGACTGCTACAGTCTGGGACTACACAATCTCAGGCCTTAAGTTTTCTGAACAGACTGGGGATTTGACGAGAGTGACGTCGTATCTTCCTGGCCGGACTGTCCTAGAATCGCATGTCTCCTTCCCAGCTGGAAGCGGGCAGTCACTCGTCAGATGTCCATAAACCAGTCCCGGGGAGAGGTTTGGAAATAGCACTGTGTTCCTCTTAGCTGTTGGCGCGTTCCTTCCTGGAGGGAGGGAGCCAAGTCACTTCATGAACCACACTCGGGTCTCACGCTCAAGCAGAACAGAGCTGGACGAAGGTGGGAGGAAAAGGAGGCTGCACTGGGGAATAAGGAGACCCCCTTCTTAGTCTCCACGCCAGAGCCTGGATTTGAAAGTGGAAAATAAAGTGACCTGTGAGGCCTTCCAAACGCAACTTTCGATAAACTCCAAAGCTGAATGTTAGGTTTCCAAAGACAAAGTTGTGGGAGCGGGGAACTCTTTTCTACAGGACTTTAGTAGTAGTAATAGGAATAAGCACCAAAAAAAAAAAAAAAAAAAAAAAGGAAAAGGAAAAGCATTTGGTATTGAAGCAGTATCTGCTTTTAGTTGTGCTTGTCTTAGTGTGTTTGAGAAAAGCAATCTTAAATTAGTGACAGGGTGGATGCTTTACTCCATTAGAAATGTCTTGGTAACTGAGGGCTACTTGCCTAACCGAAGACCCAGCAAAGCATAAATAACTGTAAACAACTATATGTTGTAAGACTGTAGATAGATCAATGATAAACATCTATAAAATTTATGGTAAAATGTTATTCTCAAAGTTCTACCAAATGGACATACTACTGGACAATTTCTCCATCCTATATATGTTTTTTGTGGCATCTAGCCTACCTCATAAAACTGCTACTCCACTAGATGATATTACCCAGACTAGCAATAATCAATATTAACACTTTAATTAGTAATATTGTAAGCCTTCTCATTTTTATCATTTTTCATTTTATCACATTTTTCATTTTTTAACTTAGCTTTCTGACTCTGCTTATGCCTTTCAATAGGTTCTCAATGATTTTCTGCTCCTCAATAATGAAAACATGCTTGATCCTGTCACGAACACATTTAGCACACATGGAACCACCATAGGCCCTGCTGACATTTTTTGTTTTGTTTTAGACAACCTCATATGAACTTTTGGTCTCATAGCACGAACCCCTCAGAGCCTGCCTGCAGACACGCCGGATGCAGATTTTAGTGCTTTTCCAACCTTCTTGGTATAAAGGTAAACAACTCCATCACCAGGGGTTGGGGACAGCCTAGTTTTGTTAGAGGCTATATTGTAGGAAAGCCTACCACAGTATGTCAAGCACTGGACGTTCTGAGGGCCCCTAAACCAGCTCAAAGGACTGTTCTGAGAGCCCCTGGTTCCTGCAATATCTCAGGTGGTGTCTGAGAAGGAAACAGATGAAGAAAAAAATAGCTTCCATACCTAGACAGTGTCCCCAGAAGAGCTAATTAGTAATACTTTTGTTTGTCTTAGAATTAATAAAAGTTTGGAGAAAATGAGTTTAATATCCCAAGTTTATTTAAAAGGATGTCAAGCTATGTATGTGTCAAAAGTCCTAAAAATGCTCATATCCTTTAATGGAGAAATTTCACTTCTAAGAATTTATCCTAAGGGTCTAACTGGACAAGTGTGCAAGGATGCGAGGACAAGAGCCATCTCCCAAGGAGCACTATTCTTGGTAACTGAAGCACCAATAACCATGAAACCCAACTAAATGAGCCACAAAAGAGGCAGGCCATTAGAGGTTTTGGAACTTTAATACAATGGAAAGGTTACTGCAGCATCTAAAACAATGTATTCATGTGGAAAAGAAAGACTCTCCCAGCCACAGTATATTGTTAATATGAAAAATGGAAGTTAACAATATCTTAACAACTAATATTTCATCACGCCTACAACTATCGAAACTACATTTTCGTTCACGATTTGTTCTACCCACATCAGGAGTCATAAGCCATACATGTAATTTGACTCATACTCAAATTCCAGGCATCTCCTCCTGTACCGTTCACTCCGCTAAGAATGTATCACAGATCGAGCGCAGTAGAATGGAAATGCTTGCTCGGCGTTTACTCACGTCAAGCATTCTCCATCTGATAGATTGCTATTCTACTAACATTCCACGCCCATACAACTTTGGTACAATTTGGCTCTTTTTGAAATTTTTAATTGATACATAATAATTGCTGCACATATTTTTTCTGGCGTACAATGAGAATTTTTAATGCCCTGTATACACATGTGGTTAAATGATCAACATCAGAGGCTTAATCGCCCAGCATCCCACGCTGTCACCGCTCAGAACAATGACCCATCCTGCTTTGTGTTGAATCGTCAACATCTTTGCTTCTGGTTATTTGAAATAGAGACCAAATTATTGTTAATAACTGTAGCCCCCCTGCAGTGCTATAGAACTGTGGTCCCACCCCCGGGCCGAGGACTGGTACTGGCCTGTGGCCTCGCTCAGCGACCAGGCGCAAGCACGAGGTGACCACGCGCGGCAAGCTGAGCAACAGCTGCATCCTGTATTCGTACAGCTGCTCCATCACTCCATCAACCCCCGCATAACGCGCTCAGGCCCTCCTGTCAGCATCCAGCTGCAGACACTTAGACTTCTTCATCAAGACTCAACCCTACTGCTTACTCAAACTGTCAGCTCGAGGGATCTAGGTTGCATGCTCATTATGAGCATCTATGCCTGACGTGATCGGAGGTGGCACTGAGGCAGTGACGCTAGCACTGGGGAGCAGGTGCAAATGTAATAAATGTGATGGCTTGAATCATCCCCGAACCATTCCCCTTCCACCCCAGTCTGTGGAAAAATTGTCTCCCATGAAACCGGTCCCTGGTGCCAAAAAGGTTAGGGAAGGCTGCTATAGAACACTAGAACTTATTCCTCCTATCTAGCTGTAACTTTGTGTCTGCTATATCCATACCATCCATATCCATACCATCTTTCCCAGCCTCTAGTTACCACTATTCTCTCTACATCTATGATATCAACTTATTTCATTCCTATATATGAGTAAGAACATACAATATTTATCTTTCTGTGTCTGGCTTTTTTCATTTAACATAATATTCTCCAATCTCATCTACATTGCTGCAAATAACAGGATTGCTGGATCATATGGTCAATTTGGCTCTTAAATCCATCCAATTGACTTAGTCAAGTGCCCTGTTAGTCTGTTGTAGGACAGAGCATGTTTATGTATGTGCTGGTCTTCACCTATTGTCTCTCAGCTCCAAATGCACCCTTGTATACTCTGCTCTGTGATGCTGGGTGTGGGACTCAGCAGACCGTGTTTCTGCTTTGTCTGTGGCTCCTGTAGGCTTTGTCAATAGGGAGCACTACAGGGACGCTGGATGCTTGGAGGAGGGAGAAGTGACTTTCAGTTCCTCTCATCTTGGTTCTACCCTTCAGGTTCTTTTGGCACTTCCAGAGCTATCCTCATCTTACCTTCTTGAAGGTACCAGCATCAGCTGGGCAATCTCTCCTCCTAGGAGGTCTGAGTCCAGTCTCCATGAGGTCTTTCCTCTGAGATGCTGAGATACCACCAGCTGGGCAGTGCTCCCTTCTCAGAGATTTGAATTCTTGCTCTGAGGCTCCTTCTAGGTTCTAATAACTTCTAGGTTCTAATAACTCTAAACTATTCCCCTAGACCTGTGGTCCTCAAAGTGTGGTCCGGGGACCAGCATCATCATCATCATTTGGGAAATGCTAATTCCAAATTAGCAGGCCCTACTCCAGACCTGCTGAATCAGAAATTCTGGCAGGGTGCCCCCAGCAACCTATGTTTGAACAAGCAACTCCCACCCCACCCCACCAGGGGATTCTGCTGAAGCTCAAGTTTGAGAACCACTGCCCTAGATCCCAGCCCCAGGGTGGTGTGCTATTTCCTGTAGTTATGATTTCAGTATGACCTCCACTTTTCCCTTTTGGTTTTCTTAGTCCTCCAAAACCTGTATAATCAATTTCCTGTGTTAAATTTCTTCTGTTGAAATACTTAGTGTGGCTTCTGTCTAGCTAATACAAGGCGCAATTTAATAGCTGGTCATTATGTAGTGCAAAAACTGAATTTAGTCAAAATTAACAATGAAAAATCCCTTACATTTTCTATGGAGTAGAGCATACAGTTATGCCATCCCTTAGTATGCCTGTCATATTCAGCACTGAATTGATGGCTGGCTCCTCTGTGGAGCTCATATTAAGTAGTTGGCTTGGCTTTAGGGACCATATTGTTTGAAAAATAAATATTATTTTAAAGCCCCTAATTATATTGAGCATGGTGAGATGCATATGTTATGAGGACACATGAATGTCAAAAACTTTACTAGTTTATAAGACATTCCGTGCAAACTTGAACAAATTTTTTCTTCTTGGTTTTTTTTCATCTATAAAATGGGCAGGTTGGACTAGAGCACTGGCTTTTAAAAACTTACTGTAGCAAAACATACATAACATAAAATTTACCGCCTTAATAATTTTAAGTGTACAGTTCAGGAGTGTTAAGTACATTCACATTGTAGGACAACCATCACCACTGCACACTCCATAATTTTTTTTCTCCTGCAAAGCTGAAACTCTATACCCATTAAACAACAACTCCCCATTCCTGCCTCCCCTCCCCCATCCCCTGACAACCACATTTGTTTATCCATTTGTTCACGGATGGACGCTTGGGTTGCTTCCACCTTTTGGCTATTGTAAATAATGCTGCTGCGAATATGGGTGTAGAGAGCTTAACTTTTGGGGACATGAAATTTATTTGGCTGTTGTTCTTTTTTGCTATTTTATGCAAATGAATGCTTGTTTTCTTTTGTGTCTCCTAGTTTGTTAGAGTATTTTCTGGAGTTCTTTACATGAATCCCAAAGGGTGGTAGGATATAGGTGTCGGAAGTGGCCAAAGGTTAATGGTTCCTTATCTATTGGTAATACGTGAAGACGGGGTCCGTGAAAAATGCGGGTCAGTGGTGCTCAGGACTGGATGTTCCGACTCCTTGACCAGTCCGAAAGCATCCTGCAACCGCCTCCAGGCCTCCCGAGTGCTTAAGGAGGTTACAGGCTCGTTGAGGCCAACTGTGCAAGGCCCGCCTCGAATGACTTCTGGAGTTTAGAATGATAACACAGTATTTGTTGATTAGAGTAAAAGGAGTGATAAACTATGGACAACAACAATAAGCAGGCGACGAGCATTTGCTGATCCTGTGGCGACTAAGTGCATGTTTGGATTGCTGTGCTGTAGGCAAGTCCTTTAAGGTTACACATATAGACGTCACTTAAAATACTACATAGATGACTGCGATAAATGGTTACCCGTATTATAACCATAGGCAAGAAGATATATTACCAACATAATGGGAGATTTATAAGAGGTTAATATATAGAATAACGAAATAAGAGAAGCCTGGCCTCTGGAGTGTGGGAAGGTTGAGGTCACCGATGCACCGTCTGCCTAGGGCACACCTGAAGTCTCTGCAGGAAACTGGGTTCTAAGGGATGGGCCCTGGTGTGGCGGATCGTTGGTGTCCCCTCCCCCAGTCTAGAGCCCTGTCCTTCGCACTTTTATATATTTTAATCCACTGAACTTTCTTGTTTTGTGTTGTGAACACCATTGTCTGGGTACCGCTACGAAAGCAAGATTGGTGGAAAAATAATATAACAGTGACCCGTCGGCTCCGGTCGAGGACTCAGAGGGGTTACATTTCTGGTCTTTCAAACATTCTGTGAGTCTGAGACCTTCTATTCTGGTTTTTTAACAAAGCCAGACGCCTCCCTGGGCCCAGAACAGCGGCAGTAACCCAGTAAGGGCCATGGGTTTGGTTGATGGGAAATACCTGAGGCGGGGTTCATTGGGGTGCAACTCCAAGGTTTCTGTACTGCAAGTCTGTTTCGTGGCAGGGGTCTTGTGAAAATCGTTTCGAGATCCAGTCTTTTTTAAAGCTGGCAAATTCGACGATGTCCTTGGTTTCTTTACTTGTTGAAGTATTATTGTAATTGAAGGACAGAAGAGGAGGAGAGAGAGGCAAAACCTAGTTAGGATTAAAAATGATGAAAGTAATGCTTAGTGGCAGGACCATGGTGTTTGAGACGAGCTTTCAAAGAGAGGGACCAGCGTTGTAACTGGCTCCTCACACGTGCCTCCAAGGTTAGTAGCACCGAGGCCTAATACAACGGCCGTCTGTTGTAATGAGATACACTTGCCTCCCTGCTGGCTCCTTATTCAAAAGGCAAGGAATTCGGCCTGGAAGGTATGCGACTGTCAGAGGTCGGGTCAATTGTCAGCCTGTGGGGCATGGTTGGCTCGAGAGCGTGAGCTAACTATGGGACCTACGGTGGTAAATGCAAGAGGCTGGATAGAATCTAGGCAATGTGGCAGCAAGCAGCAAATAGAGATCCGTTTGATGATAGGAAAATGAGAGAAAACCATTTAATCCCACATATCAGATGTTTTTTTATAATGCGAATGAACATAAGGCAGAATGCTTAAGAAAAATAGTAAATATGAATGGAATTTGATCTACTAGATGCTTTTGCTGAACACCATTAGAAACGTCTCCACTCTCATGGCGGACTGCCTTAAATTGTTTTAAAATTGTGCTAGCTACTGGAAAAGGGTTTGAAAACTAGAACGTCTAGCACTGTCACGTTCGCAGGAGTGAGACCGCCAGGGCATTGGAGAAAGGCAACAGGAGTATTGCCAAGAGACGATGAGTTAGGAGCAGGTGAAACCAGTGTGTTTTATTCCATTTGTTTATGACTCAGAGAGGCTTCTTGAAAAACTGGGTCGCAGGGGGTCAAGATGCACAAAGATGGCACATTGTTGCTTTGGATTGTCCCGGTTGTTTAGCGAGAAAACCTCTGGGGCAGGCGGTGTAAGGATATAAAGTGAGGCGGCGAGTATGGGGTTGGGGCAGATCGAATGCCAGAAAGATAAGCAGGAAAGGGGAGGTTGAGTGACTAGCAATGATCGGCCAATCAATAACCAGGGTATGCGGCTATAACTCCATTGGAAGGAAGGGGTGGTCAGAGGAAGGGAGTGGCACCCCAGAGCAGGGTGTTTGTTATTCTTAACTTGTAAAGAGTTAACTGAAAGAAAGAAGTAGGATGCTCCCAGGGTCAACAGTAGGGAAGAGGAGGCAGGACTTCTCTCCGCCCGGATTTTACCGATGCTCGGGTGAAGATAGGGAGCAATTTGTTTTGAGAAAAAGGATGAGCAAGATAAACCACCTACGAAGGAAGCACGATCAAGCCTCAGTCTGGACTAATTCAAGGACGAAAAGTAGTAGCTGGGTCACTGGCCTGCCACAGTGTTCCTGGCCAGTTCGTGAATTGGCCCTCTGACCAAAACTGTATCTCTT